CATGATAGCATGTTGCACAAACATCCAATGTTCAAACAGGGAAAACAAGATTCCAAATTCTTGCTCAAAACACAAAGCATACACATACTCCACAGTTGAAACAAAAATAAAAACCAAGTCTCTCTGGGGTAATATAGCCCATTGTTGCAAGCATGGAAATCCTTCCGTGCTTGAGCTCTGTCTGACGGCGTCGCTTGAAGTTCTCAACGCTGCCGTCCGCAGTAAATCCTGCCGGATCCCAGAATCCCACAGGCGCCTGCACACCCAACTCGTTCTCGAAGGCGCTCAGCGTCACCTGTCGCAAGATCCGGATCAAGATTGGTATGTTAGTAGTAATGTTGTTCATCTTGTTAACAATATGGATGCATCTTGCAAGCATGGGATGGTCCAACAGTATGTGTCAACAAATGATCTATATTAATCAACATCTGTTTTGATTACAGATGGTGTATTTAACAAGTTTATGCATTTCTTCACCTAAGTGTTGTAGATTTTCCAGACTCATTCTGCCCACCAAGAAATGCTCAAGAGTTTCGCTCGCAATCGCTCAAAGGCAGGGTGAGAGATTTGGAGGAAACCCATCTAGTGAATCCGATGAATACTCAGAAGATCGGCAGGGAAACAGAATATGGTTTGCTCTTCGGGATGAACTATACATAATATCTATATTCAACAGGGTGCAGGGTGGGACATATCGATCTCCAGTACAATAGTACCTTACATCAAATCCAATTTGAAGCGGGATTTGCAGGTCTCCAGTTAAATACAGAAGCACTGTCCAAAATCTAGGTCATTCTTTGGACTATCTGTGTGCACTTAGCCAGCCGACTCGACCCAAATCACATCACGGTGCGCACCAGCTGTGGCTTGATGCTACCAAGCGCCTCAGGACGATGTGGCAAATGTTGCTTTCTGCAAGCCATATGAAGAAGGAGCACCGAAACACAAACTAACTAACTGATTGGCACTGGTTGGCAAAGGCAGGCAGCCCTTTCCGGTCCACCCTCTTTAGATGTCACATGTCTCAGAATCATCTCAGAAGTCTTGGGATCTAAGTGCTCCGCCTTCCGACCACTGGCGGTCAAAGCTGCCACAGCGACACCAGCGACGGCCAGAGAGGCAGTCTTGCCAGGAGCAGCCTGACGTTTTCTTGTAACACAGCAAGGTGAAGAATACATCGACGTCGGTGAACAACAACTCCTGCGACCAATACCATTGCGACCACTGCGACCACTGTGACCACTGCGACCACTGCGACTACGACTCCGACTCCGACTCCGACTACTACGACTACTACGACTACTACTACTACTACTACTACTACTACTACTACTACTACTACTAC